CAAGCAAGGTTTTGCGATCGAAATCTTGCTTAAATGAAGTCAATTATTCGCGGCAACCATATGCTCGCGAAAAACCCATAGGCACAATGGAATAATCTTAAAAGTAAAGTTTCTTTTTTCTCTTGATTCAAAACTTTTTACTAAACAATTTCATTTAATTAAATTCTAATTGCTTCCAGATAAAAGTATGGTCGGAATTCGAGCGATCCCAGAAACGCATCGCTTCTGTGTTGAGTGTCAATTTAATGTGAGGCTTTTAAACAGATGTTAAGAAAGAATACTTTTTAAAAGCTTGTTCTGAATTCGCAATGAAATCTAGATAATTTCATTGTAATCATTTCAGTACCACGTCGATGCAACTTTCTTCTGTCCAACTTGCGACAAAATTGTGAGTTTTAAATTGCAAGCTGTATTCTAACCAGAAATTTAATCCGTAAAAGATCCGGATCCCGGGTCAGATCCGGGTCAGCTCCGGGTCAGCTCCGGGTCAGCTCCGGGTCAAATCCGGGTCAAATCCGGGTCAGATCCGGATCCTATATGTAAATTCTTAAAAATACTTGTTCCTTTATTAATTTACCATTTCTTGATGGAAAGCAAGTTATGTAAAATGTTGTTATTATTATTGTTGTTAGGTTGTTCTATAACATTTAGTTTTCTATATAATTCTATAGAAAACAACTCCCTGTTTTAACCGGTTATAGGCTCAAAAAAACTTGAAATTTAGCTTTGGATAACTATAAAAGTTACCATTTTTGAGTAGAATCACTATAAAAAACTATTGACTAGAAGCCGGATCCGATTAGGAATTTCTTTGAATCCGATCCAAATCTGTAGATCCATCCAAATTCCGAATCCGGATCTCTGACCCAGAAAAATAGGTTGGATCCTGAGTCTAGACCCGATCCGAATCCGTTTAATTGTTTGATTTTAACTCTTCTTTAGAATTTTGTACATCAACTACAAAAATTTTCACAAAGAAATCCCATTCTGCAACATTGATTTATCATTCTTAAACTCTAAAAACTTTTAGAACTCTGAAATCGCTGTTTACGTCTAAAGAGTTCAATATTCTTAAAGAAAGATATTATAATGTATTTTAAAAATGGGTTTAGATGTAAAATATGCTTCCTTTATCATCGTTGATTTCAGGTTTGTGGAGCATGTGCTTATCGCCGCCATAAGAAGCATCGATGCGAGGATCTCACCTCGAAGGAGGTTCGTTTGTGCCATTTAGCAGATTGCCACTTTTGAATCCCAGTTTTGAAAACAAGATCCGATTTTCATTCCATTTCCATTCCATTTTTTCACTTACAAATTTAGATGGAAACCTCGTGCCGTGTGGAGTGCCAAGCGACCCGGCACAGCTTCAACGACTACAACAAAGTGCATCGGGGAATTCAGGAGAATCTCACGCATTTGGTTGAGAAAATCGAAGAGGTAGCATCAATTCATCAATTCATCAATTCTCTTCATCAAAACTTAAGAGTTTCTCTCAAAACTCTTAAGTTTACTTTGTGCTTTGTAATCAGATTCCTTTATTCTTCCCAATTTTAAAGTTTCAGTCTGTCCAGTAACTTCTAAAAATATTTCTAACTCTAGAAAGCATAAGCTTATATTAAACGAACAAAATATAAAAGATTTACTTTTAGTTTCTTCTCGAGAAGATCGACAATGTGCGTATGATGGAGAAATTTGACGAGGGAATGAGAGAGAATGTCGCTTGCTCGTGAGTGAAACTTTGTTTACAATTTGCATGGGCTTTTTTGTCGAAAACGAGTCAGTTCTTGTTTTCTAAATACAATGCTATTTGGAGGTTTAGGAAAACAAAAGCTCTTTGCTAAAATGTGACTCGTTTTTTACAAAAGGTCTATGTAAACTTTACATTTTACATTTTCAGGCAAGCATAGCTATTCAATTATTTAATGATATTCAGAGACTATCGACAATTCTTCAAGCGAACCTCGAAAGAGTATCTCCAACATGCGCGCAACTTTGAAAACAAAATGCATGTAAGTAAAAAAGAGGGCTGAGATGAAATCGGAATTTTATGCGGGTCATAAAAAAAGTTTTCATCCCAATCCAGGTGTGATTGAGTGCCTGCATCAATTATCCGTAATTAGAGTGTGTTCCTTGCAGACAACGCGTTTTCTAAAAAGCGCGCGCCAAGGATAAGCTACCGTAACCCTATGCTTTGCATCAGCAAATTTTTCAAAATGCAAATGTACATTAAAATCTTGCGCTCTTTTTTTCTAATACTCTTTCCTTAACTCTATTACTCTTTCGCTAAAACTTAAAAATTTCTAAATTCTATGTACAATTAAAGAGAACATTTAAAACGGGAAAAGTTAAGAAACACTATTAAAAAATTATATTATTTACGAATTTACCAGGCCTATTGTCTACATTTGCACTAGAACCATTCCAAAAAAAAATTCCACGCCCTAAAAAACTTAAATCCTTAAATAAAACTATCCATTACTACATTTTAAGAAAAGTTTGCAAATTTTTTTCGTGCTACCTTTATAGCTTTGCTTAAAAAGCGCACCTTTTAGAAAATGCGTTGTCGGAAGTTTGTCGGATCGATTGTCTGACAAAAAAGTTGTCAATGAAAATTTGTCTGACAAATTGTCTGATCAACAAGGAGCACACTCTAGCCGTAATCCCCGGTTAACTGCAATTAAATCGGTTACGGATTCCTCATAATGCAAGCTGTTTCAGATGAAAAGGTCAAAATCAAAGAAAAAAAACATGTTATCAAAACCTAAAGTTCATAAAATTTGTTCTCGTTTAGACATTCTTCAAGAAACTCGAGGGTGAACAATTGCAGAGAGGTCCTGTTGATGATGAGACACCAAACGATGAGGAAGAAGAAGTGGCCAATACTCAGGATGATTGAAGAATTTGCATATAAACCATAGATTTTTATCTTTCATTTCTCTTGCTAACATTCTTCGTTTTTTCAACAAAATTTCTCCCTCTGAAACTGTGACAATGTTGTACTCAAGCTTTTTATTAGTTACTTTCTAACAGTCTTCCAATTAATGTTAAAAATTTGATCTCATTCCAGCATACTGCTGTTGTATATAGTGTAAATAAACGATTCTGAAAAGATCTTCAACTATTTACAAATATACACATGATGAAAAGAAAAAAGAATACTGAAAAATTTGAGCTGACGCCTTTTGGAATGACAACGAGCGGTTCTCCGGTGAAGAGATGACTCGATGAAGTCGTTGTTTTGAATGGCTGAGTCTGATTGTGGAGATTGCAGTTGTGACTCGAGCAACAGCAGCCTGAAAGTACTCAATAGCGCTATTAGATCTAATATCTGACTCACTATCGGTGACACAAAGATATTCTATGGCAAGTTGACCTTGTGCCGGGTTCAAAAGATTGGTACTCGTTGTCAGATAAAGTAATAAAGCTTCACCGATCAGTTAGTATCATTGTATTTGTACAAGTCTAGACAAACCTGTCAACAATCCTTTCACAATATCACTACAATTGTCCCTTATCGTCAGCCCAACACAAACAGAGATCGGATCGCAAGTGTAGAGAGTGCCAAAGTCGCCTTGAATTGATCATTTTGGTCTTACACACAAAAAACTCATCAAAATTGTCATTTCTTATTCAAAACAAATGATAAAGAATGTAAATTTTTCCCAAGGAAATGACTATATATCGTTATATATCCTTAAAGCCTCAAAACTCAGGGTATTCGGTCTACTAAGCTGGATATCCATATTGCTTCTATTGGAGGTTGCGCTTTTTTTTTCAACCACCATCACAAAATAGCTTCTATTAGAATAAATACGATACTTTATTACCTAGAGTAATATTCGCACAGTCTCCCCCACAGAGTTCAAAATTCCCGACCGGTAGATTGGCTGGAATCGAAACGTTCATCGTCACTGGCACCTGTAAATGATCCTGAGCTTGGCTTGAGCTTGGGAGTGGAGCTCTTGTCAGACTAATTCAATTGTGTTACCTCATTTTGAAAAGAAAACCCAATAAAGCACGTGTTATTCGTCTCGGTTTTTGTTGAAACCGATGGTAAGGGTGAAGGGAGTGGAGTGGATGAGGCGACATTGCAAGTGGATGACGAGTTGCAACAACACATCGTCATCGGGGTGCCTGAAGTTGAGAAGATTAGTAAAAATCTAGTAAGATATTCATTAATATTGATATTGTATTGATATTGTACGAGTTTAAACCACTTAAAATTGATACCCTGTGAAATATAATCACACGAGTTCATCGCCCAATTCGTGCACAGCTGATTCACATCGCAAATGTAGGCGGTGATCGGCACGTAGAATAAAGCAAGGCTGATGTTTGTGCAAATACCTGAAGATGGCTTATAGTTAGAATGATTAAAACTGTACTGATCAAATATTATGATCGTTTTTCTTCTCACTAACCTTCACACACCGTCAGCGCTCCAGTGGTCCATCTATCCGACGGCAGGAAACCGAGGGTGACTCCGGTGAAGCACACGAATTGGTGATCCTGATTCGGTTGGAGAATAGATGTAGTTGGAGTCAAATCTGTGAAATTTTCAAAGATAACTTAAGACTAAAGTGCAGTAGATTGCATATAGATCTGGCCTTGGATCTACCTGTAGTTGTGCTATCAGCAGAAGGGATTACTGTCGTGGTTTGCGAAGAAATTTTTGTGACTCGCGTCGTCGTTTGATGAGTGGTTCCTGGGCTTAGCGGGCGAAGGGTGGCTAAACGTTGTAAATATTAAAAAAATTAGGGCAATTTTGGCTATTCTACACGCCAAAACCGTTTTTTCATTCGCTTCTCATCCAAATGCGGCTTTTTTGATCTACCTAGAACGAATCTCGAACACGATTCATCTTTTGCAATCATATTCCATTCTAACATCGATTGCTTTATCTATTTTACCTTTCGTTTTTTGAGATGCAAATTTGGCGTGGTGTAGAAAACATTAGTTTGGAAAGAAAGTTCTCGAAAAAAGTTTAACTCGAATTTCTTAAAAACGAATCCACCAATTCAAAAACATTTTATTCTATTATTTACAAGTCGACTCGAAGAAATTACTCGTAAAAAAATGAGTGCAGATTTCCCTTAAAATTTTAGAGATTTTTGAAAAATGATTATTTTTCAGCTTAAGAATTTACAGCTTAAGAATTTCCAGCGTAAGAATTTCCAGCTCACTTTTTGCACTAGAAAAACAATTCCTTATGAGGTAAAGCTAGCGCATAAATGAGCAATACGCTCTATAATCTCTATTTTTGGTCAAAAATTTTTCTTACAGAGAAGCTGTATTTCAAAAAAATCATTTTTTTCGTGTCATCTTCTCGGCACGGAGTGTTTGCTAAAATAGGTGATTCTGAAAAGTTTAAATTTAAAGTTTAAACTTAGAAAAGTTTAAATCAGATTAAATTTGTCTTAATCAAAAGATTTTCCCTATTTTAAGTAGGTCCGATTTTAGGTTTTGAATGAGACTCATTGCCTATTCATTAACCCATTAAAAACTTGTCTAAAGGCTGGGCACTTAAAAAGTGACCAAGTCACTTCAGCTGAAGAAATCTCTTTTTACCTGAATTATTTTTAAAACTTTTTTTTGTCAAAAACTTTTTGAAATATGGTCAAGTTTATCAAAAAATCTGGAAAGAATTCTTGGTTTGCTTTTTGAGAAATTTGATTGATTGATTTTGATTGATTTTGATTAATTTTGATTGATTTTAAGAGAGCAAACTTTTTCCAAGAACTTTCTTGCCAACCTAATAGTCGAAAGTACCAAAATGAGTACTGTTGCTCTTAAACTCTCAGTTAACTCCCACTGGAGTAAGGGAGATGAAGTGCGTTGTGGTGTAATGATTAGCACAGTTGTCCGGCTAGCGAAAGGTCGAGGGTTCGAGTCCCGGGCGTGTTTTTGATCTGCCTTAGTCGCAACTTCTCAACTTTGTATGCTGTCCAGAAAGTTTTTACGTTTCTTTTCGTACTTTCGTACTAAAAAATAACAAATTCATCAATTCGCCTATGGCTTACTCTAAATAAAAAGTGTTTATTGTTCAAATTTTCATCTTTTTAAGTCAATTTCGGTTCATTTACAAGCAAATTCGACAGTGAAAAACACGTCGTTTTTCGTCAAAAACTATAAAAACCTCTACGAAGGAATTGGCTGAATGTATTTCTCTGAAAATTTGCCTCTATACCTAACTTTTGTGCTCTATCTTTTATCTATTGACACGAAGATAGGTTTTCTTAGCTAAAATGTCTAAACCGCATCCCCTTTTTTGACTACCCGACTTTACACTCCCAAAAAAGATCCAGACAGAAGACATTTTAAACCCGTTTTAATGTTATTTTACAGAAAAATAATTGACCTTTCTAATGAAATAGTTCAATTGTTGGTTTTAAACAAAAGTACGAAAGCCTAATAATTTTGTCTAACTTACTTTTATCGGGTGGCGGATTAGGCTCCTTGCCAATATTGCAGAAATTCGCACTGCAACAACACGTCACCGAGTGTTCCCGCGTCGAGCAGCTACTGCCGATTGGACATTTCTGAGAGGTTTAAGTTTTTCAACAAGCTCTAGAACTTTTAAATTTGATGAAACTGACCCCAAGCTTCGCACATTGATACGTCGTCTCGTGGGTGAGCAGATTTGTGGTATTGCTGCACTGATTTGGGCAAATGTCGAAGATGAGCATTCTCCTGCAAACAATTCATGCTTAAACTCTTCGAAATCTTTCTGACAAACCGATCATCGCCCAATCCGCACAACGTTTGTGTTTGCGAAAGAATTTGCAAACCAAACGAAACATTGATGACACAACAAACGGTGAATAGCGAAAATTTTATGTACATGGTGCTTATTATGCTGCTCTAATAATATTACCAGTTTTAAATCAATAAAGATTATTTAAAAGATTCTTTGAAACACCCCCGAATTTTCCCATTCTATCGCTTGTAAATTTAGTTGTAAATTTTGGGGTGAACAAAAAAATGAGATAAGCTGAACAGGAATTGTTCAGCACAAAAAAACGGATTTGGTTTCTGTTTTTGAAATATCAAGCTGATTCTTTCGCGAGCTCTTTTGTGCCGTCATAGCCGAGTGGTTAGGAGTCTTGTATCCTAGTCGGAGAGGTCACGGGTTCGAGCCCAGCTGCTGGAAGATTTGGCTCTTTTTTTCCAGTAATGTACGTACAGACACGTTGTTGTAAGATAACCGGATCATTGTTGACGGATCATAATTGATCTATCCAAAAGTCGTGCACCAGCTCACTAGCATTTAGAACATCTAAGTTGCCACGGGCATTCACTTCAGGGAATTGCTTTAAGATTCAACTACAGTCGATACTCGATATAGCGAATCTAAAACGTTCTGCATAGCTGCCCTGAACGATTGCATTTAGCTGGGGCAGCTACGCAGAAATTTTGGGCACATTTTAGAATTTCAAATTCGTTTTATCGAAACTCGCTTGTATTATGATTTCATTAAACTATCAAAGAAGCTTTTCAAATACAAAAACTCATGCAAAAGATTGATAACGAAAATCTGGATGAAAAAAGCATTAAGTAGCTGCTGTTCTTTGCAAACATTTTTAGAGGGTATTTTTGTGTTGAGTTTTGTCTTTATTTCTATCACGTTATTCATATTAAATAAATGTATACTTTTTAAAAGAATACATTCACTTTCCTTACTTTTAGTAGAGTTGTTTTTGCTCAGCTATTAAACTGAAAACGCAAAAGCCCATTTTTTACCTAAAAATTCATGTATTTTCCATAAGTTTCTTTTGTTTTAAAAGAAGTTTTTGTTTTATTATGACATTTCCAAAATATTGATAATTCTAAAGTCTATTTCTTGTTGCACTTGGGGTTTTCAAATAAGCGGCGAATTCGTGAACGACTTTGTCCAGCTCTTGGTAGATCACCTCGTAGTTTTTAGCCTGCAATTTCACATTTAACCCTTGAACATTTGAAATGCGTGTATTTTACATCAAATAATTACCTTTTTTTATCAAAATCTTGTAGTCTTCAAGGGTGAAGAAAGCGTTTTTTATTGGATCCGTCGAGAGAAAAGAGGCTCTAATCGATGGGATCCTTTTTGACCACAATGTGGCCGCTTTCTAGAAAAAAAAGTTTAGAAATAAAGCTCCAATACTTAGTTGTCAAAGATTCTTGTTAGTTTATAAACCCACTAATTGTGTGAGTGTCACGATCTGTGCCAATGTCACATAGCGATCACCGCACTCTTGCAAAACGCTCAATACGATGTTGAAGGCAGCTAATGAGGGCTAAAAAGTAAGCATACAGTTGATTTTTTTTTACACAAAATACTATCTTTAGACATTATATTATATTTTAGAAATCAGATTTGAAACGAAAAAACATTCTCACTTTGATAAGACCGCCCAAGTAATTGACAGCTTCCAAATCAAGGATTCTGAGTTCGTCCTCGAAAACTTCCAGAATCTAAAAACGAAATATTATTTGAACTTTCAGTTTGAATTAAATTCTTATTTAAATTTTTGCTTTTTTTAGTTTTAGATGTGAAATAGAAATTTTATAAACCTTTGATTGAGTGAGCTGTTTGAGAGCGGCTGAAAACGAGAGAAACTCCTCACCGGGAACACAAACGAAATCTCGAGCTAACGCCGCTTGTAAATATCTAAATAAGCATAGAGTTTACTTATTATATTAAAAAGTAAAAAGAAATATTACATAAATTTCGAGTAAACGACATTTTGCTTGTGATCTTGTATTGTTGAAAGAACGAGCGAGATGAGCGCCGAGTCGGCCACCTCGTGCATCATCTGGAAAAATCATAGTCACCTACAGTACTACCGTAAATACTGTAATAATACCCCACCCCCTTGTACAGTCGCGTAGTCGCAAAAGTTTTTTAGTATTTCATTTTTTTCAAGGCGCCCGTACTTTCAAAAAATGCATCTTTGGTATCAAAAAATAGCTGAAATTCAGGGCTATTTTTTGATACCTAAGCGCGCATTGTAGCATAAACCAGTGTCGAGAAAAAATCGTTCAAAGCTAGACTACGCAACGCTCCGCACCGTCATTATGGGGGTGGGGTACTATTACGGTATTTACGGTATTTACGGTATGTATTCTCTCTAATAGTAATGCACCGTGAGCGTTGCCTAAATTGCTCGAAATCTCGAAAACCGCTTATCAGAACCTATCGATGTGGGGTCGAAAAATGTAGCTGACGATGAGATCTTGTGGGAGATTTAAGTGTTGAGCTTCTGCGGACAACTTCGAAACCGTAAAATAGTCATCAACTCGGCTCGGCGGGGTGCACTACTATTAGAGAGAAGACGGTAATTATAGGTACAGTAACTTTTTTATCTATTATTATTAACTATCCCAATCTTCACAAAGCTGAAATTTTGCATTGGGCACAAAAGCATTTTAAAAATCAAATTTGGACAAGACGGGACTTCGGCCCACAAAACCAAGAAAGTTCAAGATTTTTATAAAGTGGAGTTTCCCGATTTCATCTCTTTTTCTGAATCTTGACCCAGCTCGTTGGATCCGATCGATTATTCTGTCTGGTCCATCCTTAAGGTAAAAGCCTGCGCAAAACCGCATAAAAATGTTGAAAGTTTGAAGAAAAATCTTCTAAAAGCCTGGGATGAACTCGATTATGCTTACCTAGTCGCCACCGTAAACGCCTTTCCTAAACTTGAAGCCTTTTTCAGAGAAAAATTTTTGATCACCACAGTAAAATGCACTAAACTACCGTAACCCTCCAATTTTTTTGGCAATTAGCCATTCGCGATTTCTTTGTTTTTTTTTGATTATTTTTGGGGGTGGGACAAATGCGACCTTTTTTTGCGCACCTGGACATTTGCGAACCTTTTTTTGCTGGAAAAGGCCTTAGGAAAGGTCGTAGAGCTTCAAAAATGTTTTCATAGAAGGGAATCGTATGCGTAGATTCCGAATTTCGACAAATCAGACCTCGCTGGCACGCCAAATTTGGGCTAAAAGGCAAAAACTACGCAACTTAACGCTTTTCCGCAGTTTTTGCCTTTTAGCCCAAATTTGACGTGTCAGCGAGGTCTGATTTGTCGAAATTCGGAATCTACACATACGATTCCCTTTATATGGAAATATTTTCGAAGCTCTACGGCCTTGCCTAAGGCCTTTTCCAGCAAAAAAAGGTTCGCAAATGTCCAGGTGCGCAAAAAAAGGTCGCATTTGTCCCACCCCTTATTTTTGTTTTTTTCTTATCAACTTGACATCTGGAATCAAAGTTAAGTTTATTTTAGATTTTTTTTGAACATATCACTTTATTAAAAGGATTTTATTTATTAAAATGAAAGGGCGATGGAGAACTTGCCAATGTCGAAACAAAAATAAGAACTTGGAATTAACTTTTTTTTATTTTTATTGGGCATCATTAGTTAATTTTCTGGACAGCCTTTTGAAGAAAGAAGACGAATTGACGAGTTACGATAAGTTAGTGCATTTTAGTGTGGGGAGCAAAAACTTTTTCTCTGAAAAAGCCTTAAAGTCTTTCCTAAACGCTTGACAGCGTGTTCGGCTAAAAAATGATAATCGCTTTGAAGCTAATCACTAATTTGTTGTTCATTGATATCAAATAAAGATTTTAAGATAAAAGTTTGCTTTCAAAAGTTTCTAAAGACAAAATTAATTTTGTCTACCGATAAAGCTTTTTATCTGCACCTATAATTATGGGACTGAAAAATCGGTCCTAAGAATAGAGCTGCTAGTGTCCGACTGACCTTGTTCGCATAGTTGCTGAGCACAATCCGCCCGACACTCTTCTCCATCACTTGTTTGTCGATGGCTCCCTAGAATATGATTGTGGAACATTTGCCCCGCCCCCTTCGCCATTGGCCATTCAACTTTGAGCTCAAATATCTTGGTGTTCGGCTGTCCAATTTAAATAGTTTTTGCACCAATCGACAGAGAAATCGCCAATCGGCGCATCCAATGACACCAAGAATATTTCAATTGAACACCAAGATATTTGAGCTCAAAGTTAGATTGCCAATGGCGGAGCGCGTATTAAATATCCGATAACCCTAGAATTTGTTTCGTTTCTTACACGATTCAGCATTTAAAAATGGATCTTAGATTTTAAAATGAACTGGAATTTAAAATACAGACTTGAAAACTCACCGATTTCTCTATTGGATGATCCAATAATTTCATCGCGAACGTCTCTTTCGTGTGATCGATCGGCGCAAAGAGATCATCGTGAAGAGCAACATAGTATCTACAAAAATATCGAGTTTATACTTAAAGTTTTACTTTACTTACCTCAAATCCTCTTCTAAACTCTTATCAATTTGCAGCTCGATCCCCATTTTGCTCATCAGTATGCCTTGCTTTTTCACTTCGGTCAACAATTGAGCGAAATCGAACTCTTCAAGATGCTCATCTTCCAGATACTAAACTCAGCTGCAACTGTTGAAATTTAACCATTTCTCTTAGGCTTTTCAGTTTCTTTATTGATACATTTCCATTTTCAAGCGCTTACCTTCAACAATGTTTGACATGCAAACGGCCAAACAGAGATCACCGAGTTTTTGTTGTGCTCTCGGACGATTAAATGTCCTAACTTTCGAATTGCTCTCTTCTCGCGATCGGAGAGTACGAATTGAGAGTCTGGCTGGAAAATTTGTATATAAAACAAAACTGGTAGACTATTTTTGAGATTGCTTTTTAGCAATAGAATAACCTGACAAACCTGACAAACAAAGGCGGCTCGGTGAAGCGAAAGACCGAAATGTTTTCGAACGCTGATCGGCTCGCAAAATGTCACATAGCATTTACCAAAACGCTCGTTGAGAATGTTCATCGCTTTGAAAAGACCTAAAATGATAGGATCCAGTGTGCCAGAGGGTGTACGTTTAGGAGAACACAAAGTATGGTCAAAAACCAATCCAATTCAGCAACTGTGGATATACTCTAATTACGGATAAAAGGCTCATTTTCTTTTATCTTAACCGAGCTTCTATTTTGCGCTATAAATTATATATAAATTAGGCTAAATTACAGTACTATCACATCAGTTTACCTGAAGTCGACTCTTTCGGTTTCGGAAAGCCCAACAACTCGTAGCTGTACAGAATCTCTTCCAAAATTTTATCGTAGTTGATTGCAACTGGTACAATTACCTAATAAAGAGAATTTTTTGAAATTTCGCAAAGTTGATTCCAGGGATTGAAACCTTGACCTTTTGCTTACCGGGCAATTGCCCTACCACTAAGCTATCCGTACTTTTACTTTGCCAAGAGAAAGAAGGGAATATAAAGAAGAAAGAAAGGAAGAAAAGAAGGAAGGAAGGGAAAAAGAAAGGAAGAAAGGAAGAAAGAAAGAAAGAAAGAAAGGAAGGAAGAAAGAGGAGGAAATGAATTTTTATTTAAAAACAAATTTCCTTCTTACCACATCATAAACACTGCCTCGTAAATATGGCTCGAGCATCACTTGCATCAGGCCGTATTTGGGGAAGAGACTCTGGAAATTGCATGAAATTGCATGGTAACTTTGAACTTTTCTCATTAAAGTATGTCTAAAAGATAACACTTGTCCATGAATTATTGAGCATTCATCTATTTCCGATTGGTTTTTGAAAGATCTTTGAAAGTTGCCCTCAAACACTCACCTTTCCCACTCGACTCCTCGTTCCTTCGACAAAAAACTCGACCGGTCGATCCGAGTTGACGATGTGTGATTGAACATATTCAGTGAACAACGCCCAATAAAGTTTGTCCTGAAAATTCAGGTTTCCAACTGTTCCAGTAAACAAATCCAACTGTTCCAAACGATCGACGAATAAAAAAAGCGCCGCATTTGCGCAACGCTTCACCCATAAATTTCGAGTTCATAAAGTCCATTCCGGCGGCGATCGCTGGAAGGGGAACGTTCTGAAATGATGAAATATTAATAAAATTTGAATCCAGAAACAATTTTGAGCGACCATTTCTACCATTTCACGCACCTGATCAAAGCACATTAGTGACAAGAGAATGAAATCGAGGTACGATTTGTGCGATGGCATGAAAACGACTGAATCCGTTTTACACAACTCTCGGATTCGTCTCAATTGATCAAAATTCACGTAGATTCCGTCAAGAATTTGCTAAAGTCCAATAATGGATTTGATTAATTATGTAGCTTTGTTTTAATTTCGATTAATAGATTAATTGAGATAAGTAGCTCAAAAATTCAGTACCCGAATGACTTTTGCCACGGCGGCTCCAATCACGCGCACCGCTTTCAAGTTATAGTCGTGCGCCATTGTTTCGAGGATTTCCTAAATAAATACAGTCAAACTTTATTGTAACAACGTTCGATATAACGTACACTTTGATATAAGGAACTCTAAATTCGGTCCCGCTTAACAAAATATTAAGAAACAGCCTTCGATATAACGAACTTCGATAAAACGAACACTTTTTGGATACGTTACCGTATATTTCATTTCCATATAACGAATTATTTGCTAAAATATGGGCAAAGTAAAATTAGATTTCCGCTTTTTGACTGAATATCTAATCTTTTTACTGAATTTGAAATTATTTGCGCAACTGGGTCATTTACGCAACTACCGTAAATACTGTAATAGTACCCCACCCCCCTCGTACAGTCGCGTAGTCGCAAAAGTTTTTTAGTATTTCATTTTTTTCAAAGCGCCCGTACTTTCAAAAAATGCATCTTTGGTATCAAAAAATAGCTGAAATTCAGGGCTATTTTTTGATACCTAAGCGCGCATTGTATCATAAACCAGTGTCGAGAAAAAATCGTTCAAAGCTAGACTACGCAACGCTCCGCACCGTCATTATGGGGGTGGGGTCCAATTACAGTATTTATGGTAGGTCTTTTGCGCAACTAACTATAACTTTCTTTTACTAAACGCAACTAACTATAACTAACTATAACTTTCTGTGTTGACGGCAATTTGCTTCGAGAGAAAGCGATGGAGTTGGCAAGCTTGGAAGGGACTAGCGATTTTCAAGCGAATGGCAGTTGGCTGGATAAAATCGAGAAACCTCACGGAGTTGTTTTCCCAGCTTGTTGTTGCTAATTTGTTTTTGCAATTAAATTGTTATGAAAGCTTCTATCTAGTGAACTGGTCAAAAAGCCAATGGTTATTTGTTTCTATATGACGAATTTCGATATAACGTACACTTCGATATAATGAACTCTTCGGCCGATCCCTTGCAGTTCGTTTTATCAAGATTCGACAGTTTCTAATTAGATCAAATTTTCTACCAATTAGTGTAATTTCATCAACCAAATCAGTCAATCGATGTAGATTTTGTGCAAAAATTTGATTGCAAGATCTTTTTTTAGCCCCACCTTAGCCTCGTGGTCCACCAACTCCTTGCCGCATCCTCGAGCTTTGGCCTGTTCGATGATGATCTCCTGTTAATAAAAGCTTTTGTTATGTTTTTGAAATATAGATTTTCTAATAAATAAGATGAATTATTAAAAATTCACCTGTATCCTTGGAGAATTCAAAACATCCAATTTAATCTCGGCTCCATTGCGAACTTTTGGCCGCGATTGCACCGAGGTATTCGCTGGAAAGTCCTTTGATCTGAAAAATGGCAACAATTTCTTTAAAACTATTTTGCTAGTATTAGGTTGATGCATAAGTCTTTTCGTTTTTTTCGTACTTCTGTTAAAAAGTAACAAATTCACGAATTAATCTATAGTTTGCTCTATAAAAAAAGTGTTTTTTTGTTCAATTTGCATCTTTTTAAATGAATTTCGGTTCACTTTCAAGCAAATTCGAGAGTGAAAAACGCCTTTTTCGTAAAAATCTATAAAAAACTCTACGGAAAATTTGGCTGAATGAATTTCTCTGAAATTTTCGCGAAATGTCAAACGTTTTTTTCTCTATCTTTTATCTATTGACATGAAGATAGGTTTTCTTTAGCTAAGGTGTCTAAACCGCATCATCGAGTTAGCCCTTTTTGACTACCCGACTTCATACTCTCAAGAAAATCCAGGCATAAAATATTTTTAAACCCGTTTTAATGTTATTTTGCAGAAAAATAATTGGTTTTTCTAATGAAATCAACCGTAGTTTAATTGGTGCATTTGTTGGCTTGAAACGGCAGACGAAAAGGAACAAAAACACTTATGCATCAACCTATTACTTATTAATCTAATCTATTCAATTCGTTATTCATCGGCTTTGTAATCTCTTTTAAACCTTTAAGCATACCATTTTTCAATTATGATCAGAGCAATTCCCCGATCATAAAATCAATCTTGAGTTTGATTCAAATGCTTTTTATCAATTGTGATACTCTTTTTTTTCGTGAAAGTCCATGAAAACAAAATCACGAGTGCTTTTTAACTAGACTAAACCGACTACACCGGAATTTTCTCTCGGGTTTTTCTCAGAGATCGAAAAAAGTGACACTCTAGAAGTTATAGATTGTGACACTAAATTTTCTCTCTCAAAAATGAACACTGATCAATTCTCTTGAACAGTTCGTCTCTAAAGAAGAATTTTCATAATTTTTTCATGAGTTCTCTCTCAGGGTTTCTCCCGGTTCCAACTACACACTTTGAACTAAAATCAATCTCGAGTTTGATTCAAATGCTTTTTATCAATTGTGATACTCTTTATTTCATGAAATTCCATGAAAACAAAAGCACGAGTGCTTTTTAACCCGACTAAACCGACTACAACGGAACTTTTTCTCGGGTTTGTACATGATCTCCCATCAAAAAGATATGAAAAAATTGTCGGAAATTGATGGCAAAAAGAAGATAGAAAAAAGTGGGATCTTTTAAAAGTAATGGCTGAAATACTAAAAAAATTTAAGGAAGGGGCAAACCAACGCTTTTACTTTAGTCAAAGTAGAGATTCACTCTAATTTGACTTGCAGTCAAATGTCAGCGAAGGGGCAGTTACCCCACTCTCGGTACAGGCCTGGCTGTAGATATCAAAGTCATTTTGTTGTAGCTGATTTGTACGACAAAAGTACTGTATCTCAATTTATTAGTTTAAAAGCTTTTTTTAAAAGATATACTGTATTTTCGCTGCTAGAAAATCAAAAGTCAAAACTCTCAATTCAGATTGCATTGTTCTTTCGATATAGCTATCGTTTAAATAAAGCAATGGAGTTTAACAGGATGCAAGATTTGTAGCAAAAATACAGCCAAATTAAAGGTAAAAATTGATGCCAAAGATTTGAACATAGTGACGTCAAAAGAGGCGAAGGCGGCTGAGTTGCCCACTGCTTTTTGTACCCTAAGGTTTTCAGAATCGGGGAATCGATTGAATCGATTGAATGAGATCGAAGATTGAAGCTATTCATAGTTTAATATAAAGTTTAGTTTATTGAGAATCGCAAGATATACGATTTTTTGATTTTTAATAGAAATAAAAAGGTATATACTTTTAAAACCCTTTTCAACTAAATGAAATTTGAATTTTCAAGCAAAATCCCTGACTTGATCACCCATCTGACCGCTCCACCAGCTTGATCGATGTGCTCGAACCAATTCGTGTACTCGGGCTCTCGAACTTTACGACCCATTCGCGAAAAATGATTTAGGAAATAGAAAATGCCTCGAAGGCTTAGCAATCAAAGGAATCAGAATTTTTGAAATTCAGCACAAAGTGGTGTGACCCCTTTTGCACTTTTCTTTTCCATTCTCTTTTCGATTCACTCCCGCCATTTGCAACTTGGAGATTGACACTGCCATTCGATCGAATTGCTTCTTTTCTTTTTCAGTCTTCAACTTCCCCCCACCACTTCTCCTCGAAATTCACTGATAAGACTCTAGTGGTCGAAGTGAAGTTTAGAGTCTGAAGTAGAATGTTTTTAAATAGATATTTTATTATTGGAAAGATTGTATGCAAATTTGAGATTAAAACCTTCTGAATTTGCGAGTCAGCCTCAATCGGATGATTAGCACAACAATTTACAAAGCCAACGAGTCAAAACTTTGAGATTTTTTATTGAAGGTTAGATCTTAAACATTTTCTGGAAGTTTTTCCTGTTTTGAATAGACTGAACGAACGAGAAAACAGCAATTTTACATAAGTAACATATTAAAAACTCTGCATACATCACTTTTTTTGGGCTTCATACATCATAAAGAAACAATCAAAGCATTCAAATGAAAGAAATGAGTTTCCTGACAAAATATTTTTAAACAAAACAATTATTAGTTAATGAAAGAAGGTTAATTTTCGTCATAAACTTTTATTTTATAAAACTTTAGCGCATTGTTCTTTAGAATTTTTATCATTCTATATGAAAAGATCAGAGTTGTCTGTTTTAGATTAGTAAAAAGCAGCTGAAGAAAAATCTTCTCTTCAAGAACTTTTTCTGTACTGATGTGTAGTTTTTTTTCCGATTTCTCATTGTCAGCTACTTCTTTCCAAAATTCCGCCTGTCACATTTGCATTTGACGACACCTTTTGAGCAGCAATAAAATGTGGGAAAATCGGCTGAAGACTTGGACGGAGAATTTCATTTTTCTCCTCTGACATCTACCACTTACTTTTTCTGGAACACCCAATTTCCATCTAGTATAAGATTTACCGTAAATACTGTAATAGTACCCCACCCCCATAATGACGGTGCGGAGTGTTGCGTAGTCTAGCTTTGAACGAGTTTTTCTCGACACTGGTTTATGCTACAATGTGCGTTTAGGTATCAAAAAATAGCCCTGAATTTCAGCTATTTTTTGATACCAAAGACGCATTTTTTGGAAGTACGGGCGCTTTGAAAAAAATGAAATACTAAAAAACTTTTGCGACTACGCGACTGTACAAGGGGTGGGGTACTATTACAGTATTTACGGTAGGGTAATTGACTAGATTTATTTCAAAAGACTGGTCGGGCAAGGTTCTCGAATTCTAGTCTCTTTAGCCAATCTAGAGACGAAGTTACAGTTTTTTGCAGGTTTTAGAAAGGTGGCTTTGACAGACTTTAGGAAAATTCTCTCACTAGGAAATAACATTGCAATAGGTGCAAAATGCAAAATGCAAAATTTTCTGATCTTTCGGTTAACAAATGTTTGTTTTTGAATTCAAACCAAAAAAGAACCGACTTCATAGGTCATACAAAACAAAACAAAGGTGATCATCAAAAAAGGCTGCAGATCAGTTGATTAATTCATTCAAATCCTGTCTTTTTCTTCAAAATCTCCTAGCCTAAACTCTTCGCCTAGGCAAAGATGATTTTTGTATCAAAAAAAAACTATCTAAATGTTTTCGTGATCTAGAAAATGTTCAAAAAAGTAAAATTTATGCGAACGTTCACTTTCTGGCTTTTGTTTGTTCCTTACTATATAAAGGCTTAGTTTTGAAATCAAACTGCTAGTGAGCAGCAGACTGTGTGTTTTTAAAAGATGTCTCCCAAAAAAACTACCCTAATCTCATTATCCAACAGTTTTTTGGAGTGAAGATAGCTGCGTTATAAAGGATTTTTTTCAGCAAGTGCAGACTCTAAAGAAACAAGTGCGCTAGAAAGGGTGTGTTTTCGTGGCTGAGCACAAAGTGCGCCATTCTTTCGCTTTATTCAGCCAAAATATTAGTGCTGTTGAGGTCCACTCATTTGGATCCACTAGATCCACTAGATCCCTTACAAACTTCTACTTTCAAAAGTGATTCATCGAAATCCCTCAATCACTCACTAAATCTCATAGTTCGTGACTCTTCCTCTGATCTCCAACATTATTTTTTTTGTTTCGTTTTTCATCATCTCTCCAATTTGCGCATCTCCCCTCGATAAAAACACCGCTTTTGGTCTCATTTTGAACGTTTTTGGTCTTTAAAGAGAAATTTAATGAATAAAACCACAAGTTTTTTACTAGCATTGCAATCGTAGCAATTTTGAAATTTAAAATTTTACTTTTTCTAGTATTTTATCCAGCTATTTGTAAACTTTTATCTACCGAAATTTCACTTTTAAAGTGTATCCGTCAAAAAATTGACTCTACTTTTAAAACCCATTTCCTTGTACGCGCAAAAAGTATTTTATCCAAATTTTCAACCATTCTCTGCACTCCAAATAAACCTAAAAAATGCCATTTGATCAACTTGCTGGAACCTTTTTGAACTTTTGCAAAACTTCCTGTTTCCAAAAAGAAAAAGCAACCAGACGTACCTAGCCACTTTTGAAAGCGCATCTCTCTTTTCAAATTTTTCTCCTTTTCATCCAGTCATTCAGTTTTTACCAAAATTAAGTATTGTGGTAAACAAGTATTTGTTAGTTCCACCAATTTGACCACTTTTGAACTGCTATAGCAAATCAGTGTTGCCTTGAACCCTTTGATGAAATTCGAGCCACTCTCTGACATATTTGGGAGAATGAAATGGCGCCGAAAATCAAAGAAATTTCTAAAACTTGTATTCAACTTCGTCAAATGATACGCGTTTAATATCAGTAGAAAGGGTTAACGAATTCTCTAGAAAATGACATTTAAAAGAGAACTTAAACAACGCTTCAGCTCAACAAAAGGCCATTTTTCATCTATAAACTGTCATCTAGATAAAACGGTTGAAGGGATGTTGCTGAAAATTTGACAACTTATGTAATTGAGTGTGCTCTATCTTTTTTTATGTAGACAGTAAAGGAGGTTTATGTGAAAGAAATTGGTCAAACGATGTGTCGAACTCTTTGCTATTTTGTTGAGCTGTGTTTGGGAGTCTATAAACTCGAGGAAAGAAAAGCTTTGTGAAATCTCTCAAAAGTCATTTTAGAGAGAAATAGTTGAACCTTTTGATGAAACAAACGTTTATTTAAAGAAGGCTTTATGCGTGCAAAAAAAAGTGTCTTTAAAGGGAGGGGGAGAATCGTGGCCTATTCTCACAAGGGAAGGTCAACTGGCCAAACTGGTCAACAGGCTGACCAAATGACATCGACCATAGACTTATCGACGCAGAATTTCACGCTGAATCCAAAACTGCTTTTTGTTTTTGCTAAACGGTACTCTGTCAAAAGTTATAAGCCTGTAAATTTTTGTATGGCATTTTAAAAATCATCCCTCGAGTTTATCAGCTGATTTCCCAGAGTTATTAGAGAGCAGTGGTTTATCATATATTGGGTTGATGAAAAAGTCCTTTCCGATTTTTTGGGAGAGTACCTTAAATTTGTCGAATTTTGACGTTTTATAGCTCATTCTAAAGCTGAATTCAAGACGGATCGATTGATAAAAACCGTTTTGAGATATCTCTTTTCTAAAAGTTTTTACAGCTATTTTAGTAAACGTCAAAGTTGGACAAATTTAAGGTACTCTCCCAAAAAATCGGAAAGGACTTTTCCATCAACCCAATATTATCATATTAGAGAGCAGTTTATCAGCAGATTTTCCTGAGTTATTAGAGAGCAGTGGTGGCTGAACTGCGAACTCTTTTTGTTTAACTTTTTTTTCATGTAACAGCATCAAAATATTCAATCTATACAAAACAAAAATTAATTTTGCTAAATTTAGCAAAATTCTTTTGATATTTAGCACTTAGCATTTAGCATTTAGGCTGCAGATCAGTTGATTAATTCATTCAAATTCTGTCTTTTTCTTCAAAATCTCCTAGCCTAAACTCTCCACCTAGGCAAAGATGATTTTTGTTTCAAAACAAAAACTATCTAAATGTTTTCGTGATCTAGGAAATGTTTTGATATTTAGTCAAAATCAAAAAAAAGCATTTAGCAAAGTTGCTAAATGCTAAACTGCTAAATCTGTTTAGCAAAATTGCTAGATGGTAAATGGTAAATAGTTTGGTGGACCCAGGCCCATGCCAGCAAAAGCCAGACATTGATGGCCCAGAAAAAGCTCTAGTACGGAATTTCAGCAGTTCAGCATAAAGTTTTTTAAATAAATCCACCTCCAGCCCTGTCATCACTTTCTTTTTCGTTCGTCATCATCTTCATAAATATTTATTTCTTTCATTTCAAAGCCAGACTGTTATTTATTTTCTATTTTCTTCTCATAGTTGTCATTTTCTTTCGACAATCTCGCCACAAAAGTTGCTATTTGTTCAAATTAAGTGCAATATATTGTTTTCTTTTCTTTCTTTTCACTTCTTTTCACTTCTTTTTCATTATTGAGAAAAAAAAGGAAATTTCGTAATTAATCCAAATTTAGAAATCTCTGAAAAACTGGTTCTTTTTTCCGAATTTCTCTTTATCACTTGATCAATGTTTATACGATTATTTTGAGAAAAATTTTCAATAAACTTTTCAAATTGTCAATCGTTTTTTTGCTAGTATTATCAAGATTTTAGGTTTAAACGATCACAATGCTAAATCCATGCGTTTAAAAGGAAAACGCGAATGAATTAAGCTTAACAGCTACTTTTTCAGCGTTAACGTGTCACAAAAAAAAGCTAAATTTAGGTATTCAATCCGAAAATAAAAACTGTTTTATATTCTAGAAGGGTTTTTGTCGAAATCTCTGTTTTCATCTTGAGAAATCAAGCCAAATCAATAGAATTTGAAAGTTGATTCCCTTTTAGAAACCGACAATTGCTTTTGTTATATTTCAAAATCTAGAACTGCATGTTCTCTGATTTTTCTTGAAATCTCTTAACGCTTTTCTTGAAATCTCTTAACGCTTAACTATCTTTTTCCAAGATAGAGAAAAATCTTCAGACATAGACATACTTTTCATATTGTTTTCTCATCAAAGTCGATCGTTTATCTTAAATTCTAGAGGCTAGAGATCTACCTTCTTTTGATCTTCTTTTGCAATTCTTTTTAATCACATTCCAAACTTGAACCTGAGAAGATATGCATTGTAAAAAAAGAACTGCATGTTCTGTGATTTTTCTTGAAATTTCTTAAAGAAAATCCCTTTTTCTAAGATAGAGAAAAAGCTTCAGACGTAGACATACTTTTCATATTGTTTTCTCATCAAAATCGATCGTTTATCTTAAATTCTAGGCTAGACCTGATCTTCTTTTGCAATTCTTTTTAATCAAATTCCAAATTTAAACCTGAGAAGATATGCATTGTAAAAAAATGATCAAAATAATCTTCAAAATAGTCTATGATCTTCAGAGTTTGCTGAAAATATTTCGTTTTCTCAGAACTTTCTCAGAACTTTCTCAGAACTTTCTCCATTAAATATGTATGAAAAGTTGTTTTCCATAAAATGCACAAAGAAAACAATCAAATCAAATCTTTTTCAGGTTTTTTTCGGAAATAGAGAAACTGTTTCACTCGGTGAACTCCCTATTTTCAGCGACAAACTTCGAAATCACCTAATCAACAAAACATATAAAGAACCCCGTCGATGATGTTATGGAAACCCACTGGTGAGTTGTTCGGTTTGCAGTTTACATTTGTTTTTACAGTACATTACAAACAAAATTTGTTTACAAAGCCAACCAAATCTTCTTTTTTTATTGGGTTTGATAGAGCGAAAGTTGAAAGTCGACTTTGAGCTTTGAAATGAAATTCGTTACAAATCACGAACACACTCAACTCATTCTCATTTCACTCATCATTTGAACATTCAGGCAAATTCAACGATTACACCCGAAATCAATTTAAAGATGGTTTCACGAGTCCATGGACGTCAATTTATATCGCTTCCTCAATAGCTTTCCTTCAATCTTTTCAATATTCGATGTTTAGCGTTTCATTATGGAATTATTCATTAAGTGTAAGTAATTTTTTTTTCTTGAAATACAGTCGACTCTCGATTTAACGCCTCGAAATACAACGATTTTGAAATTCTAAAACATCCCCTTGCTTTCTCCGTAACTGCCTTGCCAAAAGCAATCGTTAGGCAGTTACGCAAGAAATTTGAATCGTTAAATCGTTTTAGAATCGTTAAATCGAGAGTTGACTGTATTCGAAAATCATTAGCTTTAAAGCTTTTCTTGAAGTTTGAGCTTACTGTAATAAGAAAAAAAAAGCTTTGCTCTGCTGGAACACTGTTTTGTTTTTTTTAGATAAATCCCAATGTAACCGAGTCCACTTTCGGGCTCATCGTCGGTGCGAATAGCTTTGCGCAAGCCATTGCAGCTCCAATTTTCGGGTACTGGAGCAATCGCATTGAAAATGTAAAGGTGAGATCTTGTAAATCGTTATAAATACGTTATTGGTTCAATTTTTTTTCAGCTTCCTTTGTTTATCGGTCTTCTTTTCATGGTCTCGGGTAATATTCTCTACTCAATTTTGCCATTATTCGATACAAGTGCCTATTCGTGGCTGATAGTCGCTCGACTTTTGACTGGAATCGGAGCTGGTTAGTTATAACAAAAAAACCTCATAAATCCCAATTCTAAACAAAAAAAACGATTTTTCAAGAAACTTTTGCTAAATTCTCTTTGCTGATCGTTTCCCCGCAAGAACGTTTCAGAAATTTTCGAGAGACAACTCTTGACAGGCAAAACAAGAGCGTCTTTTTGAAACAGGCAAGTTTAGCCATGTCTTGTCCCGAAAATCAATTCTAGAATAGCTATTTTCAAATCAAAATTTTCAAACTCATTGAAAAGTTTCAGGAAATTCGGCCTTAATTCGTGCTTATGCCTCACAATCGTCTTCGTCGGAGGATCGGAGTAAAGCGATCGCTTGGACGACAGCCGGTGACACGCTCGGCACAACAACTGGACCGTGTGAGTGCAAATCCATCCATTGAGGATCTGTTTTATTGTTTTATTCAGTAAACTGAATGTATTGAATTTAAAAGTTTTCCTTTTTCAGTGATCCAACTTTTCTTCTTGCCACTAGGCAAAGAAGGCCTCGAGCTTTTCGGTTTCCGCATCAACATGTATACAAGTCCGGCACTTTTCGCCTGTTTCATCGATTTGATGGGTATCGTTATTGTCTCCAGATTTTTCGTTGAAGACTACTCAATGCTCAGATACGAGCAAAAGGTGAGAATCTGGGTGAAAAAAAGCGGAAAAACCTGACTAGACCTCTTTATCGCCTTGACGCAGTCGGGGACGCGCTTGTCTACGGCCCACACGACCCGGGTTCGACCCCCTGGTGCCACTCAATGTTGATTTTTAAATTTTTTTTAATTTTAAATGGCACAACTACATGATATTTTAAGACTTTTTAAAAGAATCTCAGCCTTTTTGACCCAAAGCCAGCTGAGGAAGAGGCCGTATAGACGGACAGACAGACACTGCTCTTTTATGTATAATAAAGTAGATAAGTAGATCCCTAAATAACACGAATTGCTAATTTTCGTATGTAAATTTTCGCTATTTTCACCTTTTCAACTTTGGTGAAGTGAGTAGCGCGCCTGCTAACGCCCACACGACCCGGGTTCGACTCCCGGCTGTGTCGTGACTTTTGCTTTTTAAAAAAACGAAACATAAGTTGCACAACTATATAGAATTCTAAGGCTAACAAACTAAAAATCATGTAAATTGACACACGGGGAGCCGCGTACAGACAGACAGACGGACGTACGAACAGACACTTCCCTTTTATATAGTAGAATTAGCACACTCAGTCAACTAGCCCAAAAACGCGGTCCCGAGTCTGCCTGTAATCCAAAAAGCTACCGTAATCTTAGTTACCTTACAGACGGACAGACAGACGCTTCCCTTTTATATAGTAGACTTTCCAGGGTCTCGACAGCAACATGATGCACCCATGTTGGACGGCGGTGGGAGTTTGTGTGGTGACGAGATACTCGCAAGCGCTTTTACTTTCGACTTTTGATGGGTAAGCTTGACAAATCTTTATTAGAGATATCAACTTTCTGAATTAGCGAAAAATTCCAGGGTTGGTAGCTCTTTCGCTAGTATGATGTTCGGGTTCACAGAAGAGGAGACGGTCCGCAATAACAATTTCTCCATATCGGTGCAAGCCGCCATCGGGCTTCTCGTCTACTTTTCTTTTATCTATTTCAATTTGGGCAGGAGGTTTGTTTGTTTATTACTACTAGTTCTATAAAACTTCACCAATCAAATTCGAAACATTTTGATCAAGTTTTTCAGGATAGCGATGCGCACATCCGTTCTCGTTGCTCTGCTTTGTTTCATTTTGTATCATTGCCTCACTTTTGCCTATCCTTTCTACGATTTGCACGTCAAACTCGCCTCTCCCGGTACGTCATGGAATTTTTCATCAGAAGCTTTTCGTTTTTTCCCAAAAATTCCCCACTCCTGGCTAATTTATGGGCTTGTAATCATGGGAAAACGCCAAGTCTATTTTTTGATCTTGGAAAATGCGTTAAGATATGGAAATTTGTGTATGGGAAAGCCCCTAGTTTTCCAGAAAAAGAAGGTTATCGGACATTTGATACGCGCTTTTGCCATTGGCATTGGCACGCCGCTTTTGCCATTGGCAATCCAACTTTGCGCTCAAATATCTTTGTGTTCGATTGTCCAATTTACAAATTATTGGTATCATTAGATGTGCCAAGTCTTTCTCTATCGATTGGTACAAAAACTATTTAAATTGGACAGCCCAACACCAAGATATTTGAGCTCAAAGTTAGATTGTCAATGACAAAGGGGGCGGGGCGTGCATCAAATGTCCCACAATCGGAAAAGAATGCAAAAGGATTAGTGCAAAAAAAGGCTTACTACTGAATGACAAAATTGAAAACTCTTGCTGTTGGCTCCAAGTTGAATCCAAGAATTCCAGACGTGAAGGGTCGTCAGTTCGGTGTGTGCGAGTCATCAAGATTCACTTGGTGCACCTCGCTCACGACCTATCATCCACTCGTCTTCTATATCTCGTATCTAACATTTGTCGGCGGCTTTTTCCCGATCATCAACATTGCTTTGACGACTCTTTTCTCGAAAGTGATCGGCCCGAGAGCACAGGTAATGCACGAATGATATCTAGCAAATTAGACTGGTCGTATGCTATAGAAATGTTTAAGATCGATTTTTTAGTTATAATTTTCAATCTTTATTCTCATGAATTCATTCCAGGGCACCCTACAAGGCCTCTTCCAAGTAGCCGGCTGCATTTCGAAGATGAGCAGTCCGACAATTTTGGGGTGAGTCTTAGTTTTTTGGATTTAAATTCAGGGATCAAATTTTGCTGATCTTGGCTTACGGTTAGAGCATACATCCTGAATAACTTGAAATTTTTAATCTACTTTGCTAATTGTAAGCAAATCTATTTTATTCAGCTCTACCTACACGGTGGGTGGACCTCGGCTAGTCTGGATCCTGCAGATCACTCAACTTATCAGTGTTTTATTTCTATGGATTATATTCAGAAGGTTTATTTAATGGTTAGAATTATTTCTTTATCAAAAAATGTTCAGAAAAATGATCGGCATGCAGGAGCGCGTCGATGAACAACTAGAGAAAGAGTGCAAAGATTGCGAGGAGAAAGAAGACAAGACAAAGCTCGAGATTCTCATCTGGGCAACCGGAGAACGGTGTAAAGCATGATATATATGATTATGTTACGGTTAGAGATATTTTGCATTTACAAATTCGTTCATATTTATGTGTTTCTGTGATAAAGCTTTAAATAAATTCACTCTGCAAATCGCTAACAATTTGTAAGCAGTAGTAAATTTAAAACAATTAGACAGAATAAATACAAGAGTACACCGGATTTGAAAACTGAGAGGGAAGAGCAGATCCTCTGCTTTGTCACTGATGATTCCATTAAGTCGTTCTTTGCAGCTTCTCTTTGCAAATTTCTCAACTCAAAATATTGATAAACGCATTAGATAACTTGCCCCCAAATTGATGAATTCGAAAAAGTTGAACCTCTTCACCTTCTTGAATTTTGTGGTGTCCCAGTCTTGATTCTCGAGAAATATGCTTCTCCCAAGATTTTTCAGAATGGCCGATCACATTGCACTGCTAGGACTAACTCTTTTAACCACAACAGGTCAAAGATTATAGAATGATCTGACAAAAATGATTTCTAGTAGTTGCTACACCTGACCATGCTGTGCGATGCTTTGTGGGCACGGCCGTTAAAGGATCGGTGTTGACAGGAGAAACGGCGTCGTTTAGGGGAAAGTGCGGATCCGTTCAGATGTGGTTCAAATTGGAATCAGAATCTATTAAATCAGTTGTCACTCTTTCTCATTTAGAATCAACAACGCCGAAACTTGATCTTTCTTCTGTGCCTCGACAAAAGCCTGTTCTCTCGTTGAATCCGACACCTCGCACTGTGCCACTCTTTTCAATGACAATATGGTTTGATTGTTAAACTTGATGAGTGACTTGACAATTCTAAGGATACATTCAAAGATGCTGTTGTGATGATAGCAACAATTGCAACATCCACGGAACTGACGTAAGTCAGACTTAGCCAAAACCAGCCAAGGGGTTTAGGTTGATGTCAAAATTGCTCCACCAACAGGCATTCCGGATAATCGATCACCGATTGCTTGCTACTCGGGAATAAGCATGAACGGAGGAGTGCTCACCGATGCTGACAGTTATCTGGCTTGTCATGGAGGTTGTGCATCAGTGGGTGAAATTTTAATTCAAGAACTGTAGAACAAGCAAGTTCACTTAAGTTTATAAAGTTTTAGTTTCAATTTTACAACCACAAAGTCACCCTTTTCAGGTCTCCTACCACTCGACATTCAGCGGAAAGAGTATTGTCACCACAATCTATTCTTGTGATCCAGCCGCCTATTGCAGAGTCCTCACCCATGCTGACAGTTATTTTTTCTGATAAATTTGACGGTTCTTTTCCGTTATACATCCGAAAAAATAAACCCCCGATCAACACGATCCCAACTTTTCCACCAATTACAAAACATGGTCCAATTAAGCTATACAGAAAAGCTTTTGTAATTATGATGTTGTTAACTTTTTGACTTTTGACTAATTCCGTTTTGTTTCACAAAGTTTTACTTTCTCAGCTCAACAAGGAGATTTTGGTGAAAGAAAAAGGAGAGAAAAAGCTCTAGAACGCGAAGAATCGGCTCAAATGAAAAAAAACAAAAATGTTTTTATCAGTGACAGAATAAATTCGTTTTAAAATATTGTATAATAACAAAAACAACAGAAAAATTTTCATTTGTGATTCTGAAAGTTTAAAATTTGGCTCTTTGCTTGCAAATAGCAATGCGATAAACATTTTCACACGGGAAATCATTCCATTGATACAAATATGGATCCCACTCGGCTGGCACTTCAGCATTCGCATCCGGCCAGATCTTTTTTTCATTTAGATACGAATTTATTCAAATTTTCTCTCACCTGCATACAATACTCATTATTTCTGGCGTTATCTGGTTGAGTGGCAGCCCATTTCGTGTAATTCATCGGCGACCCATCCACCCAAACCCAATCCGTTTTCCCTGGACCCGTCTAAAGTTTGAATTTGTTTTTTTTGTTCAAAGACTTTCTTAAAACTATATTCAGAAAAGCTTTATAACCATATTTTCTATAAAACGTTTAAACATTGAGCTGAAAAAAGATAAAATGTTTCTCCGAAATTTACCCTCTTCCCTCCAATCAATGGCTCCTCTGACGATCCCGGTTGTTTCACTCCCGATTTGCCCAGATCTAGGTAACATTAGCAAAATTTAAAAGCACCATTAGCTGCTATCATTTAAAAGCTACTGTAGAGTAGCCTAATTTTTGCTTTTTTTCTGTACCCCCCCCTTCACCTCATTCAGCTTACCGTTCACAAAAATATTCTCCTCATCTGAGTGTATCGATGTCAAATTCGAGCCCATCGATCGACAATTCTGGTCAGCCGTGGTGAAATCAACGTTGAAAATCACCTGAAAATCAATTACATTTGAACTTCGATATAACGAATCGCTCGGCACTGAAAACTTCGATATAACGAACTTAAAACTGCCCTGAACAGCCAAATGTTTTTGGGCACGTTTTAAAATTTCAAATTCGTTCTATCAAAGTTTTTTATATCGAAGTTCGACTGTAGTTTATGACCATGATCACAAAAATCACCTTATAACAAGATTTAAGTGATTTGGAGTAGACCCAAGCACTTGGACACGGTGAATCGGGTGGACAAGTTGGTGGCGGTGGTTGGGTGGTTGTTTCCTTGACTCGGATGAGATTTAAGAATCGCTAAACGAAAAGTCACCTGTACTTGATTTAGGCAAGCCGATGGAAACATTCCATTCCAATTCGATGTTGTCCATTTGCCACTTGTCAGATTCATAAGAAGATTTCCGGCAAAGGCGCCTGCAAGTTCGAAAGTTTCAACAAAATTCAAAGCCTTATTTGCTTTGAATTATTTTGACTAATCTTTTCATTTCAATATTTGCTCATTTAAGCTAAATTGACCTTGTTGTAGATTGGTGTATTCAGCCATTGATCCATCAATCCATGTGATCTTAGTCCCATCATAAGTCCCACCCAACCAGATCAATTTTGTTAGCTAAAACTCTTCAAAACTTTATTGAGCCCTTCTTCACCTCCGTAAATACGCTAGTGAATTTTAAAAGCTCTTCGTTTTCCTCATCCGATCGAATTGAAATCAAATTTGCATAATAGCTGAAAAAAAATCTAAAATTACTTCAACTTTTCTTTACTTTGAGCAAAAAATTTGCGCATTTTTGAAAGTTTGGTTGAATTTCACGGGAAACAAACAAAATTCGTCAATCAAAATGCCATCTTTTGGGCAAAAAGCAGCAGAAAAGCCTGAATTTTCTATGATCAGAATAAGATTTTTAAAATCTACCAAATAAAGTCGTCAAATAAATATATTGAAAGGGTTTCATAATTTTGAATGAATGAGAAATTTTATCTGCTTCATTTTAGCTATATAGAAATTGTTTTGAAGTAAATAATTTCATAGATAAGACTTTTTTGGGTCAACAGAGATTTTGGGGAGGCATTTTCTAGTTCTTCTTTAGTTCCAGTTCTTCTTGTTTTCATAAACTTCCCTTTTTTTGGCAGATAAGAGAATTTTCTAAAGCTTCTAGATTTTAGAGAAGATGTTGAGACATTAGGTTTTGAAAAAAGTTTGCGATCATCGATCATCGAATTTTTATTCGCAAACAATTAACAAAAACGGAACGAGGCTTGTCTTTACGGTCAAAATCACCGTCATTAAAGCCTTTGAATCACTCGATCGCAGCAGTTTTGTCAACAGTTTCTTCGCCTTCCACTTCAGCAGCAGATCAGCAGACGAAGCAAAACACAAAGTTCATTTTTATCTATCTAAAGATGTGGAATTTGTAGTAAGTTAGAAAGTAACTTATATAACAAAATGCTCGCAAGAAAACAGGTTTTAAAATGTGCCGAAAACTATAATAATTTATTGTCAAAATAATTAGATAATTAGAACTTTTCTGAAAAGTGACCGCGAACTTTTTTAACAACCTAGTAATTCTTAGCCTACGTAACTTTAGAAGCCTTTGGTTTACACCACGAAAACTTGTTAGAATTTTAGGTAAATCAAGCTAGGCTATGAGGTTTCTGGAGATTGTTAGTGCTGATTGACTTGTAAAGAGTAGTTGATGGATACTTGGAATGCTTGAATACCGTTAAAGCCAGGTGTTTATCAATTTCCAGTCCAGCTTGCTCAGAAATCCCCGCTCCTTACTGTTTCCCCTGTTCGCAGTTCAAATTATCTAATTATTTTGACAATAAATTATCATTTTTTGATTAAACTTTTCGATGAAATTGATGCTAAACAGAAAGCACAAAGTGCGAGCGATAGATTGCGTTGAGTTGCGGTAGATTTACACTACTCGTCAAATTACCTGGCTTCATTTCTCAGAATTTCTTTTCAAAATGCTAGAGTAGTCCAATCTTGATATCTGAATTGGACTCTTGGAAACGAACTGCGATAGAGCTATGATAGAAAATATATCAAAATTATTTCCTATATTGCATTAACTTTATCGATAAGTATTCCTCATTTTCCCATTGTAATCCCAAAAAAGATCGTTTTCTTAAACATTTCTTTGAAATGAATAAAACACGGTGTTTTCCCGTGAAGACTGGTATTCTAGAATTGCTTGTATTTTTGATTTTTAAGATTTTAAATGTAAACTTTAAAGTTCACGGCCAAATTTCACTTTTCCCGGATCATTTTTTGTGTTTTTCTTGTGTTCAACTCGTAAAGTGCAACTTTTGTTTGTCTTTTATTTCATTTTTTACTAAAATTCATGTACGTTTTGCTTTGGTGAATTGAAATGAATAAATTTTTATTTTTATCAAAATTTTCATCAAATTTGAAACTACCAACCGTGAGAATATGAGGAATGAATGAATTTCTCGTTCTTCGTCGTCGTCATTTTCACGTTGTGATTCCACTTTCGGCGTTTCGCGTGGTACATTCGATTGAAGAGAATGATCAACATCAAATTCGAGAGAATTGTGTAATAGGGAATCGTCTGCAAATTTGCGTTAGATATTAAATTGCAAAGAAAAACATCAAAATTTTCATAGAATTCGTTTCCTGAAGGCCTGATACCAGAACTTTTCAA